TTAATAAAAGAAACTTTGAACCAAGCTACAGCTACATACTACCTAAATGAAAATGAACACACGAACCCTGTAACATTAAACAGGGGAGTCAAACAGGGAGATACTTTATCACCCAAACTGTTCACCTTAGTTTTGGAGGACATTTTTAAAAACCTAAATTGGAAATATAAGGGAATAAACATCAATGGCCGCTACCTTAGTAATCTACGATTTGCAGATGACATAATCCTGATAGATACTGACCTACAAGAAATGCAAACCATGCTTTTAGAACTACATACCGAATCTTCTAAAATAGGACTGAAAAGTCATGCACTCCAAGAAAGTTAGCTTGGGCAGCATTCGGTAAACTGAACTTCTTCTTCTTCTTTGGGTGCCGTGTCCGTATTCAGACGTTGGCCGTCATCATGCTTACAATTTCCTGAAACCTTTCTCTGTCGGCTGCTGCGCGAAATAATTCTTCTACTGTGAAACCACACCATTGTCTAATATTACGCAGCCATGAAAGTTTCTTTCGACCAATCCATCTCTTTCCTTCCACTTTTCCTTGTATTATAAGGCGAAGTAAATGGTATTTGGGTCCTCTAATTATATGGCCGAAGTATTCTGTTTTTCTCCTCTTTATGATGTTTATGAGCAGACGTTCTGAGTTGATCATTTGAAGAACATCTTCATTGGAAGTATGCGAAACCCACGATATCTTTAGGATTCGTCTATAGCACCACATTTCGAATGCTTCTAACTTGTTTAGCATTGTGGTTTTTAACGTCCATGTCTCACAACCATACAATAGGATCGACCACACATAACATTTCAGGACCTTCTTACGAATGTTCATTGACAGGTTTCTGTTGCATAAAACTGGTTTCCAGGTCATAAAAGCCTTACGTGATATTTCGATCCTGGATATTATCTCTTCATCAGAGTCACAATTTACATTTAACCAGCTGCCAAGGTATTTGAAATGATTTACCCTTTCTATCTCTTCTCCATTAAGAGAAAGCAGACCTTGATCTATATGGATCTTTCCAACTGCCATCCATTTTGTCTTTGAAATGTTGATTTTTAGGCCTCTCCGATAACTTGCTTCACTGACTAGATTTAGTAATGTTTGGAGATCTTGTAAACTTTCTGTAAAACTGAACTATATACTCAGAAATCAACAAATTCAATTATGTACATCTTACTAAAAAAAGATCCTAAGAAAAAAGATACTTGTAGATCTAAAGTTTTTGATGCATGCATTATTCCGATATTAACTTATGCGGCGCAAACATGGACAATCACAAAAAAGAATATGAATATACTTAGAGTCACTTAACACGCGATGGAAAGAGCAAAGCTAGGTATATCACTTAAGGACAAGAAAACAAACACATGGATAAGACAGAAAAACAAAGTCACCGATGTGGTGCAAAAATCATTAAAGTTGAAATGGGAATACGCTGTACATGTAGCTAGGAGCGATCTAAACAAATGGCATAGATCAATTTTAACCTGGAGACCATACCAACACAAAAGACCCAGAGGCAGACCTCCTATGAGATGGACAGATGACCTGAAAAGGACTGCCATGAAAAATTGGCTACAAGTAGCGTACAATAACAAACAATGGAAAGGAAAACTTGAAGAGGCTTATGTTGAGATGTGGACGTGAATGGCTAGACGAAGAAGAAGAATAAGAAGCAAAGTTGTGAAAATTAATGCTTTCAACAAATTTTCGTTTGTCCAAACATTTAGTTGTTAGCTCGTACTTTCATGTTTGACACTATTTTCATCCATGATGATTCTTCTATAATAGATGGATAATCCATTTTGATGTACATTTTAAGTCTCCACATCATAAAGATTAGTTTACATTTAGAGCATTATTGCCGTAGAATTTTGTAGACAATTCTTAATTTCGTTTATAAAAAATAACAATATTGTAAAGAACTGTAATTCCAAATAGCAAACATATAAAAACTATTATTTTTTTTAACTCTGACATAATTGGAGTATCGAAAAAAAAATGCAAAGTTCCACAATAGATAATATATAAACACAAATTAATTTTTAAAAATTACACAAAATTACTACGAAGTAGTTATATGGATTTTGATAATTTAAGAAAAATGTTTTATATTGTAAATGTTATTATAATTTATTTCTAATTTCCAAACACTGCATATTTTTAACCCTGTATAAGTATTTTATTAAATTATTACTGGGGTAAATTGAAGGAGACTCCATTACAAAAATAATTACCTGTTAAAAATACCACCAAACAAAAACAAGAAACACCTCTCGAAAGTATCTACTGCCTTCTTGCTTCACACTTTCCTTATCGGTATTTACCTTACAAATCCAAACATCCTGTTTCTGAACTTGAAATTCACCCATATAGGCATATGTAGCTGTACTCCAGGCCAAGACAACATAGATAAACAACACGTAATAGATAACATGAACGATAACCAGAGCAGTTCAAGATCAAAGCGACGAAGACAACGCCGAAAAAATCATCGAAAGAATATCGAATCTACGCAAGATAATACAGAAAATACTATAACTAGCGTCGAGACTGAAAAATACGACAATGTTATTAATGAAATTAAAAATATTAAAGAAGACTATATCGTACAATCCCCGGGTGAACTTTCAAAAATTAATAACGGTAAAAAATCTAATGTGAAACCAGTCAAAAGCCGAAGTTTAGACGATGATGATATGGTAAAAATTCAAGAGGTGTCTGAACTAAGTGAAACAGAAGAAAGAGAAAGTCAAGCAATAGTTTCAGAAGCATCTGAAAGTGAAGTTGAATGGGAAGAAACGGCTACTTTAGATATTCCACCTCCTCTTCATGGTTCTTTAAGTACCTTCACACTACCTCTCGAAGTATGCAGCAGTGAACAAATAACTTTGCTGTCCCCCGAAGAAGAAAAAAGTTTGCGCGACTTTCTCGGAAGTCTTAATTTAGTAAACGGTCCAGAAGAAGCCGCGAATAAAGTATACGAAAAGAACTCAATAGAAAGTATTAAACTGCGAAAAGCTAGAAAAAAAGCCGAATTAGACCAATATTTTTTACCTATTTACCAAAATCCTCGATATTTAGATGTAATTAGTGAAGAATCTAGTGATCGTGACAGTGACAGAGAACAGACAAACAAAACTCGTATTCTTAGGAAAGGAACCCCAGAACAAGACCTACCTCCTGTACCTCCCAAAATTCCTCCCCGACCCAATCGCGAACGAAAAAAATATCTTCCCCCTATACAACAAGCACCTGCAGTATTAGTGGATACAAAATTGCTTGAAATTCCCACAAAGTCGGAAGCTATTTGTAGTACAACAATTACAACTGAAGAAGGTATAACGCCAGATGTTGAGGTCGTTTACCTAACTTCGTCTGAAACAGATTCTACTGATGAAGTGGATAGTGCCAGTAGCGATAGCTACGTCGTTGGTTCAGAAAGAAATAGTAGCAATGAAGATTTAAGTGAAAAAACATTGGTAAATGTCGATGCTAAAAATTTAAATAATACCGAGGAAGTACATATTATTAAAAACAACAATTCACTGGATTTTTCTTTTAAAAATGTGAATAAAGGGAATGAAAACTTGAAGACTGAATTATCCTCAAAGTGTTGCTTTACTATTAAAAGCAATAAAAGTTTCGACGACACCAAAGACACTGTAACTATAGACTCCTTTTCTCAATTAACACCTCCACCGACCCCTGAAAATGTATCTCCAAAAGAAACAAAAACTAATATTGAAATATACCATGGTGTAAACCAAAATAAGGCAGACTCTAAACCTGTACCATTCGCAACAATTATTAACGTTTCATCCAAAATAAATCATGATACTGGTGATACTCAGAATAAAAAAGAACACATTTTATTAAGAGAAATAGAAAGAGATGATACTACAAAATATTTAACAACTCTTGAAATTGATCCAAACGCAGAAACTATTTATACCAACAGCATAAGTCCACCTCCTCCTTCAAGATCTAGGTCCTCTTCCAGAAGTGGAAGCTCAAGCCGAGAAAGTTCTCAGTGTACAGCTAAATATAATCCATCATTGTCGTCAATGACTGACGTTCTGTCACTAGCAAAAAATGAAGAAACCAACTATTACCAAGCATTAACTCTTAGGGAAATATGTTTGAAATTTCTACTAGCATTTCCCTTTGGAAAAGAAATGTTAGAAGAACTGGCTGACGTGTCCAAATATATAGAATCCTACACCAGATCCCTTCCTAGCACTGTGTTACCTAAATTAGTTCCTAACTTAGCACCGTTTGTTGACAAAGCACATACAAACAATAATATTCTTTCTTATAACCTTTCAGTCCATTTACCCTCCAAAAAACTGCAACTTGAGGATATCATTTCTATCAACAGCTCTGTAAATGAAACTGAAGAAAACCTCAAAAATAATCTGAAAAGCAGCCATAATGCACTTAATAAACAAGAAGTACCAGAAAATGACTTTGAAATAAAAAATTCAAAGTTATCTGCTTCTATGGAGAGAATAATACCAATTCAGATTGAAACATCTTCCATTAAGGAAACTTCAAAAGTTGATTCTACATCTCGAGAATTTAATATTCCTATACATATTGAAAAAGTACGTGAAAGAACAATTCCGATAACGATTGAGGCAAATGAAAAACAAGACGAGAAAAATCAAAACAGCAACGTAGCCAAAGAAAGAATAATTCCTGTGCAAATTGAACAAAAATGTCAACCTGATGAGTATGTGTTAAAAAAACATGAAGTAAATATACCAATTAAAACAGAAGTACCAGATTATCCAAGTAAAGAATTCGTAATACCAATCACAAGGGAAAATATTAATATTAAAGATAATGAAATAAAAAATGTGGTAAATATGTCAAAGAAAGAGGTAAATATTCCAGTAGTAAAAGATTGGGTTGCATTACCCACTGAAAAAGATCCAAAAGTTTTAATGTGTTTATCGCCTAAACAAAAGGATCAACTTGAAAAATCTAAACAGATTCCCGATGAAGCAGGAAAGTTGCTAGAACTACATGAAAAATTTATAAACAGAAGAAGCTGCCACCAAGATGTAAGAACAGAATCTCAAGAAAAAGTCACTGTCACAAGTAACGTACCGGAGACCTCTAGTAGATTGTTATCTATAATAAGAGAAGAACCTTCAACGATAACCGATGACAAAGATTATATATTTTTTATTGACAAAGAACCGAAAGCTAATCGCATGGCTACAATACCCCGCGATACGAATAAAGCGCGTCTGAACGCTAAAGATTTAAGCGAATGGCTTAATTTAGCTCGAAACAAAAGTATGAGTGAAAGCAACTTGACCACCGTTCCAGATATTCCCGAAAATAACTTAAGAAAGTATTTCAATACACCTGCGGCGCCTATAAGACGTACGTCGTTGCCTCACGATATTTACGAAAAGCAAATGATTTATATTCAAGAGAAAGAGCGAGAAATTCAACGGCAATTAGAAGCCCTCGAGGAGGAAAAGCGAAAAATGAATGCCGATATGGCACCCTCGAAACAATTTCACGCGGAAGACTACAATTTTTCTCGCAAGGGCGATTTCGCGGAGTCTAAAAAAAGACCCCTGTCTATGCCCCTGATTCCGACCGAATATTTTCGTCAACAAATGTACGAAGAGTATATGGATAAGTTTGCCGAGCGTGAAGAACGTAAACAACATAAAATTATTAAGGTCACGTCGTCCAAGGACGTACACGAGGATGATCAAAAGGCTGTAGCCAAGGAAATAATTCATCCGGTACAAATCGAAGACGAATTTATGAATAAAGTGAAACAAAAGCAGCAAGAAGGTGTACTGGAAAACCGAAAAAGTGAAGAAACAGAAAAAGAAAGCTGCACGAAAGAAGATGATGATCCTCCCGTTTTGGTAATGGACGGTGAAAAGTTAAAGGAGGCCAAAGAACTACCCAAACATTTGCAGGAGTTCGTGGGACCAGACGGTAAGTTAATGTGTTGTTTTGACTAATTGTGTTGATTTTGTTTTGTACTAATGATAAACTTGTGAATGAATAAATCTGCGTTTGTATTTTATCGGCATCGAACATGTGCTTGTGTACTTTGTGATGTTTTTTTTAACATTGACGCAAGCTTTAGACCTGCAGTGTTCTAAGTTTATATTTAAATCGAGTTATAACACCGGTGACTGTTACTGCTTCGAGGATATTATACAATCGGGTGCTCGAAAATGACGTAATACCGCCAAATAATATTACCCAATAAATGTTTGATTGAATATTTTATTACAGAGTTTTAATGGGGATATATAAAATGTTGGTTATTTCAAAATAATGCTGTATTAAATTGATCTGTTTTAATCAATGTTTTTAATTGGTAATATTTTTATAGTGTATTTTTATGTATGAGAGAGTAATAAAACAATAAATTATGTATGCAAATCCCTAAACTGTTGATACGGGTGACTCAATGAAAACAGATATTCGTCAACAAGTTTACAGAAGTATATAGGAAAACAATTTTAAATTGAGTATGACCACCAGGTATAAAGGTTGGAGCAGAATAGAATACAATAGTTGTGAAGGTTACTAATCCCCAAATAAGGTTGCCAGTGTCGGAGTGATGGAGGTTAACAGGTACTAATGAATTTGCAAGAAATGTAAGATGTTTATTTTATTGGTTATATATAACCAATAAAAGTTTAATAAGTACCTACCTATTTGCAAAATAAAGTTTAATTCTTTAGATAAAATAAAACGTTTTATTTTATCTGAAATGAGTGCATTCCACGAAGTAAGGGTTTCAACAATCAAACATTTAATTCTTTAATTCCAGGAATCTACGACAGTAATTGACTAGATAATTACCTTCTAAACTTATTCCACAGAAAATGTGATAGTGGGTTTTTCCATTTTGTAGGAAGGTCCAAGTGGCGTATTCAAAATTCTTAACAGTTCACTAAAAGCAGGTACTTCAGTTGCAAGGTGCAGTTTTATGTGTATACTAGTGTTATGGAAAATTTGGAAGTGCCGTGTAAACGCCGAAAAATTGGTCCTTTAACAGTTAATGAAAAAACATTAATATTTAATTGTTTTAAATCATTTACAGACAAACGTTTATGTGAAAGTGTTGATGAGACCGTTGAGTTAGTTAGCAGTACACTTGGTGTTGGGAAATCTACGATTTACAGAGTTATTAAAGTAGAGAAATGTGGTAGTTTTCAAATGCCACGTAATGCTCCAGGGAAACCAAAATTTCAAATAGAATATCATTTTAAAGAAGGACTTCGACGGAAAGTGCATGAATTCTTCTTTAGACAAGAATTTCCAACATTGGATAAAGTTCTTGTCTCAGTTCGAGATGATAAGGATTACCCAGAAATGAGTCGAAGTACGTTATGGAAACTTTTAAAAGAAATAGGCTTCCGCTGGAAAAAGAATCCCAGAAAGTCTATTTTATTAGAAAGAAGCGATATTGTCATATGGAGAAGACATTTTCTAAGAACCATAAAGGAAATGAGAAACCAAAAAAGAAAAATATTTTATCTTGATGAAACATGGATCAACGAGGGTCATACACCAAATAAATTTTGGCAGGATGCAACTGTTACAAGTCAAAGGCATGCTTTTGTAAATAACTTATCTACTGGTTTAAACTCACCATCAGGAAAGGGACGCAGGCTGATAATAGTACACATTGGCAGTTCAGACGGTTTTGTTGAAGGTGGTTTATTAACTTTTGAATCAACTCGTACCGGTGACTACCATGAAGACATGAACGCTGATGTCTTTCAAGAATTGTTCGAACAAATGATAGATATTCTTCCTAAAAACTGTGTAATAGTAATGGATAATGCAAGTTATCACTCCAGACTTATAGAAGGACTGCGCACAACCAAGTGGTTAAAAAAAGACTTGCAGAATTGGCTGAGTTCAAAAAATATTACGTACCATCCCGGATCTATAAGAAAGGAACTTTATTCGTTGTGTGCCCTTCATAAAGAAAAATTTTAAAAATACGAAATTGATGAAATTGCCAAAAATCGTGGAATGACAGTACTTAGATCCCCACCATATCATTGTGAATTAAACCCGATTGAACTGGTTTGGGCACAGATAAAGAGTGAAGTTTCAAGAAAAAATACCACTTTTAAGTTTTATATTAATATTTTTATTTATCTATTTAACATACCATAGACGGTTTTAAAAACTCTTTTTCTCTTTTGTAATTTTTAAAAATTAAAAAAAATGTGAATTTTTTAAAACCCTTTTTAATGTAGGCCAGTCAGTTCTAATATAGTGTGTGATAAAAGAGGTCACTTTTGTTTACATACACATAACACTTTATAACACTGAAATAATTCATTTATTTTTTACAATTATTCAAAGTAATTTTTCAATTAATCTTGAGCACGCCCATGGAGTGGTCGAAGGTACCAGTTAAAATTATGCTAATTACTCTCTCGTTCATAAAAATAAACTATAATTCAGTTTAAAACACTGTAAAAAATTTAGGTGAAAATATTCTTATATTTTTGTTATTATATTTTTAATGTGTAATTCCTTTCTCATAAATAATTACTAAATTTTAAGGTTTATAGTGCAATCTACATTTTATTTTATTTATAGTCCAGACTGTGGGGAAAAAAGGGTGATTTTACACTGTAATCCAGGGACTTATGTAATGTGGCCTAGGTTATAAAGGGCAACCTTAGGAGCAATCACCCAGTTCATTCAATAACAAATGTTTATTTATTGTTTATTTATGAGCGTTTATAGGTGCATAATACGTATTTTTTGAGTTTTTTTTTTCATTTTTTGCTTAAACTAAGTGTTGTAATGGGTAATTTCTGTATAGATTATGAAAGTACTCTAAAATACCTTCAATATGAGCCGGTATACGTTCAATTTAATTTATTTGTTACTTACTTACTTAGTCCTAAGCCTATCTACCGTTGGGTGTAAGGCTGGTGGAGTTAAGTTTTGCACTGTTGTCTCCATGCTTACCGGTCTTGTGTTAGATTTAGTGCACTTTCCCATGTCAACCCTTTCTTCTCAACTTCTTTTCTGATTTCGTCTACCCACCTAACTGTTGGTCTTTCTCGTTTGTTTTTGCCTTGCACTCTCGTTTCAAACACTCGTTTTGTTAATTTTTCATTCGACATTCTACACACGTGCCCAAACCATCTTAGTTGCCCCTCTACTATTTTTTCGTTTATTAGTTCTAGTTTTAGGTTTTGTCTGATTGTTTCGTTTCTTATTTTGACTTTCCTCTTTTTGTTTGCTATTTTCCTTAGGAATCTCATTTCCATAGCATTGACTCGAGATTTTTGTCTACAGGTCAATGTCCATGACTCGCTATTATACATGATTGTAGGTCAAACTACTGATTTAACGACTGCCGTTTTTACCTTCTCCGGTATTTCTTTTTTCCCCAAAAATGTTGTTTTCATAGTGTTAAATAAGCTTCCTGTTCGTCTCATTATTTACCTTTGATTCAATTATTACTCCTAGGTATTTAAAACGTTCCACTTGTTCTAGTTGTTTTTCTTTTAATTGTATTGCGTGTGTCTTTCTCTTATTTGAAATTATCATTGTTTTTTTTGTCTGTATTTTTCTTCATATTTATGTTTGACAGTTCTTCTAGGATTTCAAGGTTGATCTGTAGGTCTTCTTTGTTTTCTGCTATCAAAACCATGTCGTCTGCAAATAGAATAGTTAAGTCTGTTTCATTTGCCAGTATCCTAATGTTAGTTTTCTCATTCTTATCTCGGCTTTCTTTATTGCTTCATCCAGTACCACTGAGAACGGCAGTGGGCTCAACACGCATCCCTGTTTGACGCCTTGACTTGTAGTAAATTCCTCGGATTCCTCGTTATTGGTTCTCACCGTATTTGTATTATTATTGTCCTCCTCCTAAGTGCCTTCTCTATTGAGGTTGGCGATCAATATGGCAAATTTCTCTCTGTTCTGGGCTTGATGGATTAAGTTATTTCCTGTTGTGTGACTCCAATCTCTGATGTTTCGGAGCCAGGATTTCTTCTTTCTTCCTATACCCCTTTTACCCTCGATTTTGCCTTCTAATATTACCTGGAGCTGCTCAAATTCCTTATGGCGCATTATGTGTCCTAGATATGACGTCTTTCTAATTTTGATTGTATTAACCAGATGAGGTCGTGTGTTCATTATTTCCAGTACCTCTTCATTTGTAGTTTTGCTGGTCCATCTTATTCTTAGCATTCGGCGGTACATCCACATTTCGAATGAATTTAGTTTGTTGACGTCATACTGTTTTAATGTCCAGGTCTCACAGCCATATAGTAGTAGAGACGAACATAATACTTTAGTGTTCTTAACCTTATTGTGATTGATAGCTTGGGTTTACAGAGCATTTTACGCATGTTCATGAAGCCAGATCTTGCTATTTCAATACGTCTTCTAATTTCTTTTGAGTGGTCTAGCTGACTATTTAGCTCTCTGCCCAGGTATATGAAGCTTTGGGAGCTCTGAAGGGTGATACCATTGATTTGTATGTTGGGTGTAATTTGTTCATGGGGTTCTTGTGGAATACCATGATTTTAGTTTTGGAAAGATTAATATCCAAACCTAGTCTGTGACTTTCTTCTGATAGTATGTTCATCAATATTTTTAGTTGGTCTTCTGTTTCTGCTAATACTACGGTGTCATCGGCATATCTTACATTGTTAATGATGATTCCATTGACTCTGGCACCTTCAGGGCGATCTTCAAGAGAAGCTCTGATGATATTTTCGGCATAGACATTAAATAGAAGAGGGGACAGAATGCACCCTTGATGCACTTCTCGTTCTATGTTTACATAATTGGTATTTCCGTTGTCTGTTTGAACACATCCTGTGTGGTTCCAATATGTATTGCTTATTATAGCTATGTCGTGTCCATCCAGCCCTACTTCTTTTAGCACCTCAATCAATTTTTCGTGTCCAATGCGGTCGAAGGCCTTTCTATAATCGACAAAGCACACATACAGCTGTTTTTGAACTTCGAGATACCTTTCTGCCATTAGTGTCAATCCCATT